ACTGTAAACGCGTGTGCTGTAAACGCGTGTACTGTAAACGCGTGTACTGTAAACGCGTGTGGTGTAAACGCGTGTACTGTAAACGCGTGTACTGTAAACGCGTGTGCTGTAAACGCGTGTACTGTAAACGCGTTTACTGTAATCGCGTTTACTGTAAACGCGTGTAGGTTCGCCTAATTAGCCGCAATCTGTACCTTAGAAACGTAGATAAGTGTCGATAAACTTACTAATCGACGAATAAAACAGCATTCTTTTTTTTTCTTTTTTTTTTTTTATTTACTATAGAATTCACCTCAAAACAAGGCTCGTGAGAGCCACTTACGTGTTTTGGGTTACAGTGATGACTGCGTGGTCAGATATTTGTTCACCCTTGATTTAAACCGTCTACACAAAACAATTCCTTCTCTTTGTTTTATGTCAGTTGAATCGTCGAGTGATATCAGCAAAATAACTTGGCATTTTTGCTCGCGCTACTGCAGTAATTTACTTTTGCCGCACCGGGGCGCTTTTGATCCATGGCGATCTTCACATTAAATGGCCGTCAACCGCGGCCGTTGTCATGATTGTCGCTCCTTAGACAACAATAATGATGGACGTTTCAGCTGAGGAAATGATCTGAGTTAGGAAATCGTTGTTAGAAATATGAAGTGGGGTTCTTTCTGTCAGGTAAAGCTTTTTGTTCAGGTTTTGGGCTCGCCTCTCGCCTAGGGTGGCCGAACCCCCGTAGGCTCCCGGATATCTCCGCGGTGCTGAAATGGTTGCCCGCCCACCCAGCGCCGAGCGTTTTACGTACTGGTTCGGGTTATATTACACTGCCTGCGAGACAGCAGTAATCAGTTAGTCTAGTTGGCTGAAAATTTAGACTGTCAGAAAGGCCTGTGCTAAACGGACTGGGGATCGGCTAAACACTAGTGGCTTCCAAGCCGGTTCGTAGAGAATGGTCACCGGGCTAATGGTGGTGCATGCACACGGTGGTATTGAAGGAAGAGAAAAAGGAGCCAAACAAAAACTTCAGCTCATTTATTCCTTTATTTCATATTAAATTGGTATCATGAGCTGAGATATCTGAATGACCCAGAGAAAGCAACAAACAAGGGGGCGTATGCTTTTGCGAAGAGAAGTAGTAACATACATGTAGTACATATAGTATCTTCCTTCCTAACATCTGCTTGGTTTTCATTCATATGGTAATGTATTGGACCAGAGTTTGACGGCCCTCGACGGCGAAAACTTCAGTTCTGCAAGCGATCAGCTGATCGCTGAAACACATTTTTACGCATAACTCGAGAACGAAGCAAATTTGGACGAAGGCATTTAGCAGGATTATAAAGCATACTACTAGGAATATACTCTGAAAATATGGGCACCGGAAAAGGCAAAAAGTTTGATTTTTCTGAAATTGGAAAAGCGGAAATTCATCCCCTATCACACCCCCGTTTTCGGGCTCCTGTTCCGGAAAGGCCCGTATCTCGCTAAAGAAGCCTCGCTCATTCCCAGATTTGGCCATTTCGCGAGTGGGGAAACGCGATGGGCTCTTATGGGGGTTTTACTCAAGGTCTTTCTCGCTCTTGTTCTTGACCTTGAGGCTCACCCTGACTACCTGAATATCACAAATAGATAGGAAAAGAACCGTTTTATTTTTGCATCTGTTCATTTTGAGGCAAATATTTATGGTACGGCTTGTGCGAGCGGCTGAATGTGGGTCTTTTTTTGTCAAAATTTCTGCTATTTCAGTGTGCAAGAAAGCTATAATCTCTTAAAAACCCACTATTCATACATTACAAAACTCTTATTATTCCTTTACTACAATAGACATACTCAGTAGAAATATTTTCAATCGAATTCGAATACATGTATTACATTGTAGGCATTTACTTCCAGTAAATTGTAAACTTATGTAATATATCTATGCATAATCCTCCAAATCCTACAGTAGAGTGTAAATTTCAACATTCATGACTTAGAAGCAGGGAGTACGATTTTTGCAAGTGTTTATTTTGTATTTGACAAGTGGTAAAGAACATAAAGTACATGTAAGTAGTAACTGTCACAACAGCCTGTAACTTCAGAAAAACTAGTTAAATCTTTAACATACATTTGTATCATTGCAGACCCTCTTCCATTAAAAATCTCCTAAATTTGTGTACACAAAAGCAAGAAGCAATGTGAACCTAAAATACTACTGAAGTAAGGTTTTGTGTTGACAAAATGATGAAATGACTTCAATCCTTTTCTCACATTATTGTGCAGTGTCGCCCTAAAAATAGACTTTCCAGAAATTCAAACTTTTAACCGTTCACATGTACAACATTCCTAACTTCCTTCTACATAATAACTTGCAGACAAAGAAAACATGACCTGTCGCACATTAAAAAAAAAAGTTGTGTGTATCTGGATATACCCAATCAAGTATTGCCGGCACTCCAACAGGGCCTTTCTCAAAACTACATCTCCAATGCAAGTACAATTCTTTACTTTTCACAAAAATCGTAGTGAAATTTAATAATGCCTTACAAGTAACAATTCCCTATGGAACAATAGCCAAGACTGGTCATATTAAACCAATAACATTTGCGATTTTCAAATAATTGCACATCTATATCTATATACACTAAACACCATGTAGCAGCAACCCTAACACAACTCGCAAATTTGGCAAGCAAAATTACCAACCCCACAATATCAAACCACCCCTTATTTTCATATTAGACTCTTCCAAACCAAAAGTGGGACTGTACCAATTTCACTAAGGGGTGTTTGCAGCGAAGTCAACAGTGGCATGTCCCTCAAAACAACAAAATACCACACCCCCAAACTGGAATGGTCCAATCGTCAGTTGAAAAACACAACTACCATACTAAACATTACACAACATGCAACAAATAAATAAATTTACAACTCATGAAATAATTAGTTTTAAATATGATATCATAGACTGCTGACTTAATTTCACTGAAGAGCTAATAATTGTAAGATATATGTATATATACATTTTATGGATGTAATTCACTTTTAACTCAGTAAAACCTTAGATAAACCTCAAAATTGTAACCCTTAAGAAATTTGGCTGTAGATAGTCATTGAATAAAGGAATGGAAAAACAGATGTTCAATTTTTACTTCTTACAGTTTAAAGATTTAAGTTTTAAAAACTTTTTTTTTTCAAATTGCCTTCTAAATGTGAAGGTTTAGACAAAGAATAAACATCTTAGTGCTTCTAGCTGAATACAACTAAAATGTTAAAAGGATTACAATTGGAGTGGAGGTTTAAATAACTAAGGTTTCACTTTAAATTCATAGCCATTGACTAACATTAAAAGCTGCCACAAATAATCAACCACTTCACTGAATATATGAAAGATTAGAATTACAGCAATACACAATGTCAACAAAGCTTGTGGTACAGGTATGTAAGTTACTGAGATTCAATGCTTTCATTTGAATAGTTAAGTAACCAAAACCTATCAAATTCATAAAACAGTGACTTTGAGTTGTATTTAGATGACAAATGGAGTATGTATTGTTCCAAGAGTAAATGTATGCACTTCATGTATCTAAAAATACACTGTTGATGTACATTTTGCAATTTTTGTGATAAACAATTTGTTTCAGTCATATTTCTCAACTGTTATGTTACAACAAATTGTCTCTAAACCAAACACAGGTTATTGAAAACAAATACTCTCTTAGACTACTACATTCTTTCCATCATATCAATGTCTCTGTACATAAATTTCTGGCTTCTCACTGCCCATCTCACATACTCCCCTATCCCCTTTTCATAGTTTCTAACATATTGTCCTTCCTAAAACAAACAGAACAATAAGAAGGAAATACAGTCTTCTTTTTAAATCGATCCCAAAGAACTTTCATAGCCTTGCCTTATACATCAAGACTTGCCATTGGAGGATCTAGTTAACCCTCTTCATACCAATATCTGGTAGAATATAGTTAAAACTCTACCAGAAGCTTGAATACAACCTCTGTTAACATTCATCTGCCAGGTTACATATTATACAAATGTATTTGCCACCCTAAAAATGTGTCTAAAGCACTAGATATCTAGATGCTTTTTAAAGTGGCAGATAAATTTAACCTGGCAGATAGATGTTAATGAAGTTATACATGTATTATTAAACATTAGGGTTTATCAGATGATGCTAAGCTTCATATTCTGATGCAAAGCATTTATAGATACAGGATTATCATAACAGACTTTATACATAGACGTAAAATGGCCCATAGTCTTCTGTTAATAGTTTCATCAGGTTGGTAAGTCACTGAATAAAGAGACTCTTTTTTTTTATACAACTGAGTGTTTTATTCAGCTGACATTTTGGTGACCGTCTGTCACCTTCCTCAGGGCAAATCTGATGAAATGTCGGCTGAATAAAACACTTGGTTGTGTAAAAAGAGTCTCTTTAGTCAGACCATAGCCTTATTCAGACGTATAGGCATGATAGACATGATGGAGGACTCCAGCAGGATGTTATAGCCTTGTTCAGACGTCATGATGGAGGACTCCAGCAGGAGGTTATAGCCTTGTTCAGACGTCATGATGGAGGACTCCAGCAGGATGTTATAGCCTTGTTCAGACGTCATGATGGAGGCCTCCAGCAGGATGTTATAGCCTTGTTCAGACGTCATGATGGAGGCCTCCAGCAGGATGTTACAGCCTTGTTCAGACGTCATGATGGAGGCCTCCAGCAGGATGTTATAGCCTTGTTCAGACGTCCAGGCCACTCATGATGGAGGACTCCAGCAGGATGTTGAACTCCTTGAGAGACTGGAGGATGGAGACCAGGAACTGCACCATGGCCTCGTCTCGGAGGAAGGACGTCTCCTCGTACATGGACAGGGTGACGGGCGTGGCCACAATGAGGGGGATCCACTGGTCCAGCAGGTGGTCTCTGTAGGAAGTAAGGAAAAAATATTATTTTACAGACTTTTCTGAATGTACACTGACTACTAGTAATGTACAATACATGTACAGTGTGGGGCATCATTAATAGATAGCTTTAAACAATGTTTAGAGTTAGATATGTCGTTTGGTGTAATATAGCTAGCTGCTGCGCACTGTGTGCCTGTTTTATGTGCGCCAAAATTCTTCATCACATGGTTGCTTTGATCACCAAACTGTCTATTGCTAAAAAAATTCTGACCAGATCAAATGTGCTACTGCCTACATGTATTTTTTTGAAAGTACAGTCACGTACCTCCATGTAGCACACAGGGTGTTTCAAGTTCTGAAAACTGTCCAAATCGTCATTATGTAACTTTATAACGTCTTGACATCAATGTGAAAACAGAAACAAAACCTCCCCACCTTGCTCCTAGACACACCAGTAGTTTGAACTTCTCGTCCTTGCCCATACTGGTGGAGTGTGCATTGATCTTCTCCACCAGACGACACAGAGACTTCCTGGACTGTCGCACCTGGACTGAGTCCTGAGAACCCTCCTCATCACTGTCTATACTCTGGAAGTAGGTGTAGACTTTTCCTGGGTGGGACATAAGAGATCAGGTATTCATTAGTTAGATGTCTGAAAATTTTCTCATGCTAAAGTGGCTATAATTTGTAGATTTCCAGCAATGCAATGCACTATAATGGTATGTACTGACTACATGTAGTTTTATAATGTATGCCTTCACGACTATATATTTATAATGTATAATGTATATATTTTTAATAATATGTAGATATGTGTAATAAATGTTATGTATTTATCTTATGCTGTTATTGCTGTAAATACCAATGCCATTCAGGCAACACATATTTTTGTATGTCTGCAACGTTGGTATGAAATAAAGAATTGAATTATTGAATTTATGACTGACTGATTGGTTAGTTATGAAAGATAATATTGTAAATGGTATGATCGCACTAGCAAGACTAGAACAGAGCAACTGCAACATCTGAATCTGACATTGACAGGTTGCTAGAAATTTTACTCTGATTATGCAATTTCTAGTCACTCTGTTAGTACAGTAACAGCTAGAGAAAATACATACATACATTCATACATTGTACATGTTGTACAAGACAATGTGATGCATTTTGTTGGTCTGAAAGTGCTACTTTTATCAAAAGAATGAACTAAAAACCATCACATGTATTCCTCTACATGACATGTATTGAAGTTTCCTTTTAAAGCCTATAACAGACAGTTAAAGTTTTGACTTTCAAAACCAGCCTTCTGAGCAGTTTTTAAGAGTCGAATACAACTTTACCTATGAAGTCCCAGACAAAGAACTTGTTCCTGAAGAGTCGTGAAGACTTAAAGCCGTACAGGAAGACCTGTTCCAGGGACTCCACTAGCCCGTTCTCACCACACAACAGGAGGGTCAGGCTGCCTCTCTGTATAACAACATATCAAACAGTTTAGAAAAACTTGGGTTCATTGAATCATAATTTTGTCTATAATGGTTAGCGTAGCATCTAGCTGTATATATCTTAGTAGACATTCTTCATTTTTGAGAGACAATCAAGGTATAGCACTCTGGTATCATGGTAAGGGCAGTGTCTTGTGTGGCTTATCAGTTCTTTCCCATACAAATATACAGACAAGGCAAAACCTACTGGAGATATACTTCATGGTCACAAAGGTGATGAAAAAACATGAGTGCCTCCTAGCAGTTTAGACCTGAATTGCTAAGGTAGAAAATAAGATACAATAATAATAGAACACAGTCATTGATAGGACTGTACCTCCTTCTCTGGTTTGTAGAAGTGTTTGACGATGTTGTTGACAGCATCTCCCACCATCTCCTGTATCTGTGGCAAGGCCAGTCCTGGGGAAGGGAACAGAACATGTTACAAGAACGTTATTTCTTTCAATAAAGAATATCACAACCGCATAAATGCAGAGAACTTTAGCTGCAACAATGTGGAAGGATCTTTGGAAAGTAAAGATGACACTGACTGATTTTGGGTAGATCAATCCCCACAGGTGATCTGGATCTAGATCCAGGTGGTGTGCGGCATTTCTTCAGCAGCTCTGGAGAGGAAAAAAAGTTGAATTTTAGTTGTTTCTTAGTAGAGGTACTACTATTAGTAGTTTAGAGTTCTGCTAACTTTAAGGCAAAGATATCAGAAGCAGAGTGACATGTTTGCATTGGAAGACTACAATGCAAACTGCCCTTAACATTTGCAGTATTAAAGAAAAATCATTCTTTGACTGACAAAAACTTTATTCTTTGACTGCTAATGAAGTAGACAAAAGTACTTTTGTCCTCATCAAAAAAATCTTCACTCTTTGACAGAAGAATATTTGATTCTTTGAAGCTAAGAATACATAATTTTCTGTGAAAAAGTCAGCTACATACAAATACGAGTACACTCACAAGAAAACTACCTATGCCTTGCTCCAGAAAAAAAAGACTCGTATTGTAGTCATCAATAAAAATCAGACAAAGCATGCACGGAAGTGAACCAAAAAAGATGGTTCCAAAGTACCTTCTATAGGTGAGGGAAGCTGGTGCACCCAAGAAGTCCGAACTACTTCGGAGAAACAAGGCAGAACACAAGGATAAAGGAAAGACTGAACTCCTTCAAGGCAGAGGAGAAAAGGCCAAGCAGGTAAGAATTGTCCAGAAAAGGAAACAACAAAGATTGAAAGAAATCATGCATTTTCTGCATGCTTTACACAATGTATAACAAACTTCTAAAATTACATGTACATAGAAAACCACATGCAACTACCAGTAAGTAAAATGCTAAATTTGCTATAACTTTAGAATCTGCTTTCTGGTTTGTACTGAACAAATTACAGACAAAAGATCATGGCATGCTAGCAGCTACCATATTGGAAGCCCCTTTCAACAAATTTAGCGAACAGTTTTGTTTTTAACCTTTATCTTCCCAAGTAACAAGATAGCCTAATAGGTGGTACCCCTGTCTCCCAGTCTTGGCACACTAGGGGTTAAACTGACTGCCCTACCTTCAGTGTCGACAGGTTTTCTCAGCAGCTCTCCCACCAACAGTCTCTCCAGACTGCCGTCATCCACTCCCTTCCCCAGCCACCGACCACACTGGAACCTGTAGAATGTACACAATGAGATAAGTTAAGGTTCTTCTCTGCATATGGTGTAGGGGGTAGGTTTAGGAGCAGTGGGTTGTTAGTCCACTGCGTCTGAGGCACAGTATTGGAAGAGAAAGCCCATCCCTCTCCTTCCACTGCCTTTTACCTCCATAACCCAAGACGGGTGCCCATTTTATACAGAGGTGGAGTGACAAAAGTCATGTTAAGAGCCTTTCCCAAGAACATGTCTAGCCACTAGTCCATTCATCTATAGGAATTACTCGGGGATTGAAACATTTGGCCAGGGCATAATATAGGTGTTTACAGCGTTACTTGGTATCATACTGGTGTTTTAAATCTAGGTTTAAAACTTCAAGTTGGCACACAAAATGTCTTGCTAATCTAAAACTGCATGACATACTGTCTTGTGTATGAAACTTTTATATGCCCATGGTTACCTGAAAAACAGGTTATTGACCTGAGTGTGACCTACTGGTAAAAATAAATAAAAATGAAAAAAAAGACTGTCTTACTTGTATGTGTGACCTGTGACCTCGTTCCTAACCAGGATGTACTCCACCATCCATTTGGGCATCAGTCCACTGTTGTCATGGCCGATACGCAGGGTGGTCATCAGGCCCAGGTTCTTATGCTGGGGGAGGTACAGTAACAGTGTGTTAGGGATATATCATTAGGGGACAGTACATTCACAGACAGTGTGGGGTTGGGCATCAGTCTACTGTTATGTCATCATCAGGCCAAGGTTCTTATGCTGGGGAAGGTACATTTTACAACATTTTGGGGGTGAGGCTTTGATTACAGGTGAAAGTACATTCAACACAGTGTGTGGGTGTGATTCTTGTGGTGGGAAGGTACATTTAATATGGAGAGTGAGGTTATGTATTACATCTGTCCATAAAGTTATCACAGTAACTTAAAATCAGATGACTCTTTCTGTTGGACATAATACTCTGAGAAAAATGTATCTGAGAAAAATATATGAGGAAAAAAATCAACAAATTTACAGATCTAAATATAAACTAAAACAAGTGTACCTCGAATGTCATCTCCAGAGTATTTTTGGGCAGCTGTATGATGCCCGTGTCACTCATCTCCCCTGCCAGACACATCCAGGGCTGGGCAGTCGTGGTGGAGGCGTTAAACTTACGACTGGGCACGATCACCACACGGTATGGAATGACTGGGGAACAAAACACACTTCCTTATTATAACCTTCTGCTTGCTGTGGATTTGCCCAAGCATTAAGCTTGTACTGACAATGACTGGCATAGCAAGGAAAGGGTTAACCTTTTCTATACCATACATGTTTGCTGGGTACAACCACCAGGTAAGGTGTAACTGTAAAAGTAGAAGTAAAAGTACTAAAACAGACTTTATCATATGCTAACTGCTTATTGTTGCTGCAAGCATAGCAAAGAAAGGGTTAATTCATTCCATACCATATATTTATTCTAGCAATGGAAGCATCTAAATTCATACTTCCTAGAACTATTTTGGGTTTTTGCAACTTTCACAGACCTCCTGGAATTGTCTTGGGTTTTCATGAATGTAATGAAACTGTGGAGGGGATTGTATAATGTTATTTAATTGGGAATCACACCACTCCATACATTACCGTCCACCTTTACTGTAGGCATGACTTCCTTATTAATCAACTGTTAAAATCACCTCCCATCCACCATGCAACAGAATCTAATTCTATGACAAACTCAGCCACCCAAAACAAGTACTTCTAATCATAAGTTAGCATGTTCAAACCTGTGGCAGTGAAACAGTTGGTGAAACAGAAGTAGTCGACAGCGTTGAGTGACAGGAGGTGATACAGGAACTGTTCTCTCTCCTCCTCCGAACGCAGGAACGCGTACCTCTTGTACCGGGACCTGAGGTATGGCACAAAATCAGTACACATTAACCTTCAGCATGCTAAGGTGCCCATTTGGCACAAAATTTGTGTTGATTATGGGGTTAGGCAGCAGAGAGGAGGTTTAACTTGCCAATGCAAGAAATGCATGGTGGTTATATATTCTTCTGACTTTAGTTTTGCAAATGCAATTAGTTTCTTCTATGTTTGCCTGTAATAGTCAATCTGTAGTCTGATTAGTTGATTCAAATGTACAGCTGACAAATGACATCCTTTCTTCACAAGCAGTAGATCAGTAACTTAGCAATTTTCATAATCATCATTCTGATGTGCACATTCAAGGAGGTTAAAAATATTTCTTCGTACATTTACAGTAGTAACTTGAAAGAAAAAATACAAGACTTGAATATAGTGCAAAATGCAGTCAATTGACCAATGATATCCTTTCTTGACACTTAGCTAAATTTTAAGATAAAAAAGACTCAAATCAAATATATGTCTTATGCATCCCCTACAATGTATATGCAGTCAGTTGATTGGTCAGCTGCATGTTTGAATGGACCAATGACGTGGCTTACTTGAGAAGCTCCTGATCAGCCAGTAACTCCTTGAGATGTGCAGACAGCATCTTCTTCTCTATGGACAGTCTAACCCACGTCCGCGCAAACCCTACATCTGTCTTTATCTCCTTCATAGACTGGATGCTCCTGCAAATGTACAAGTTGTTATAAATGTTCACACGAGAAAAGTAAATGCTCACACAAAATGCTCACACAAGATACATTTAAAACAGCCATTATGCAAAAGCCTTTTTTGTTTCCTATAGTATAACAAGATTCCAAAAATTGATACTCCTATAAGATCATAATTGTGGCCAGTTTTCAATAGCCTGGTTACCAAACCAAACCAAACCAAACCAAACCAAACCAGTATCTTTTAATTTACAAAGAGGACAAATAGACTTGGTAGCCAAAATGAGTTTCAAATCGGTAACCAGGCCTTCTTCTCAAATGTCTTTCCATAAAGTATACTAATATTGACTTGTATCATATCTTTAATACTGCTTGATGGAGCTGTGGTCAAAAAATTTTCAGGATTACTTGCTTACCAAGTAATACTATGTGTCAGTTCAGTCTCATACAGTTTACATGCAAATCTACAAAATGTACTACAAAATGTAGCCTTATTATATACAGTCAATTATGCTTTGTGCTACAGTTAATAGTTAAAGTGTTTAGTAAAACTATTAGTGAATGATCTTACCTCATGTCCTGGACAACTGTCTGTTTCATGGCTGGCAGCAGACTGATGGGGTCAGGTGACTTACTCCGTCTCCTCCTGTCCATCATTGGGCCTGGGGATCAGCCATTGGTCAGGATTAGTAATTACATTGCATGTATGTACTTACTGGCTGATGTGTTTCAGACTAGTATTTCTGTGAACAGCAAACCTCAAAGAACTGTATTGCCCACATCTGTATGGTTCATCAACAGTAATTGTGTACTTGAGCCAGATCATTTCTTTACGCATCTAAATGCTAAAATGGAGAACACTGAATAATAAGGTGAAAATGTGAGAAAATGTAAGGAAAGAATTTTCTTTTTTGTTGCTTTTAACAGTGTTTAAACTTAGGTGGTTTATTTGTTAGAATGAAGAAAAGACAAGATAGTTTCATAATGGAAGAAAACACCTAGTAATGTTTTTGGACCCACATAATATTAATAATTGCTAATTTGTTGGACAATGAACTTAAGCTTGGAGGTAATATCATCAAACTTAACCTTCCTTGTCACCCTTTGGATTATGACAGAGATTTTATATGAAGTACTGTACTTGGCAATGTAGAAACACCGACACAAAACAAGACCACTGGCCCCTCATTTCCCCATTTCAAACCTTAACAACAGATGAGTTTTTAAAGCCACAGATAGAGACAGACAGTCAGACAGACAAGGTTACCAGGAAATAGAAGAATACGGCAAAGCTGCAAAGAGTTAGAACGTGTCAGAAGCCTAGTAGATAGTAGTAGAGAAAAACACAATCAGGTTACAAAAGAAATGTATCGTTTTACACTTTTTTTTTACTCTGTATGACTGCACAAAATATTGACAGCATCTTTCAGTGTTTAAACTTCAAGGGAACATTCAAAAACAAAACAATCCACAAGTACGCTGCAAGCTGCATAGTCCACATAATCTCATGTTGTGCTATAAAGAAAATTTTGTTTGCCATTTTAGATACGTTCATCTTAGTCATATTTTCAAAATATACAAACATGCAATTATGGCAGTGCAATAATAATTTCACGTATGAGTGGTCCATTGCTTTTTAAAGTTTTTAATAATCTCTTTTCTATATCCTCTTTGCTTTCATTTTCATGCATTTTGCTGGCAAGCATTAACTAAAGATGCAACACAAATTCTTCTCTAAACATATTGATTATGTCTCATGTGGACAAGGCAGCCTGTATGAACACAGACTATAACAGGGTATTGCAAAGCAGACAGCAACAAGGCCACCAATAACTCACAACAACCACTGTCACCCGGCACTGAATTACCTATTATAGCACTACCTTGAAGCATAATTTATATTGCAAGGCACACAAACCGATAGGACCCAATTCGACTGAGATTTTTTTTTTTTTTTGCCTTTTGAGCTCCTACAAGCCATTTATGATGCTGGAAATTTTGCCACCAAAATGCAAAATAAAATAAATAGCTTTGCCTTGTTTATACAAATGATGTTCTTATGCCACCCTACTACCCAGCTTGCTTATTAATACTATTATGCATTTTTTCAATCAGAAAGAACCTACTGGCCATGGGAACTTTCAAAGTGCTGCGGCTTGACCTAACGGTCACCCCTTCATCCTCTGCGCTCTTTTTTCGAGGTCTTTTCTTAAACGGGTTTTTCTTTTTGGGTTTGTAAGATTTGTCTTCCTCGTCATGACTGGCTTCTTCTTCATCAGCTTCAAAAGAAAATGGTGGGTTTGAGTGGTTGGAGGGTGTTTGTGGGGGTTTTACCGACACCAGAACTTCCAGGGGGGAGGGGGGGTCACCTTACACACACATTTTATTGTTCCTGTGGAACAAGATCTATTACATGTATGACTACTCTAAAACCCTATTTGTGCCCTGTTAACCCAGGAAAGATACTGTGACTGCCAAAAATCTTACAATCATGTGATTTTTGAAAATATTTTAGACTGGAAGTACAAAATTACTAAATATATGAAACATAATAAGCAAAAACTAATCGTTGTTTGACAACTCGTCTCAATACAAACCATATGAAATAAAATCTATTCACTGAATTTTAGTCGCAAACATTGAAAAAATTTTGTTTACTTTGAGACTTAAAGGCAGAGAAAATTAATGCTATTCAGCCTTTTTGGTACGTTTTTAACCTACATGTATACCAGAATTATGTATCATTTTTATCATATATGATAAAACACCAATCAATTTTTAATAATAAATACAAACTATAGAAACAGTATCTTCGCTGGCTACAGGGCCCTCTGCTCTACACAGTGATTTTACCCGGAGTCCACCACCCAATCTTTCCCAACACCTTTGCAATGACCAAGGGTAACCAAGGTCGAGTGTTCTTACTTGGTGGGCGCAGGTTGTAGTCTTCACACAACACGTAGCGACGCATGGGGGAGGGAGACATTCGTTAGTACGGCGGTCATTAGTGCTGGCTAACGAGGGGACGCGTATGTGTGAGAGGTGCAGTGTAAGAACAGGGGTGCCAGGGTATACAGTGCAATTTTACGGAATACAGTGCAATTTTACTAGTATACAGTGCAATCCTATTAGTATACAGTGCAATTTTATGGAATACAGTGCAATTCAATTAGTATACAGTGCAATTTTACTGGTATACAGTGCAATTTTACTAGTAAAATTTTACAGTAAAATTGCACTGTATACCAGTAAAATTGCACTGTATACTAGTAAAATTGCACTGTATACTAGTAAAATTGCACTGTATACGTCTAGTAAAATTGCACTGTATACTACTGCGATTGCACTGTATTCTGTAAAATTGCACTGTATTCCGTAAAATTGCACTGTATTCCGTAAAATTGTACTGTATACTCTGGCACCCCTGAAGAAGCATTGACAGAAATGCATAGATACAGCATGCAAAACTTGTTAAAAGCATGCAGTAGGCAGACATGCGGTAGGTATTAACATACATTATGCTGTATTGCACAAGACATACAGTACACATATTACACTACAAATACACACTACATGTATGTTGCACAACAACATCCAACTACGCCATGCTTCACTACACACCACACTACACACTACGTTGCACTATACACAACAACCTACTACACACATACTACACTATGACTACACTGTATTCTGTCCTCTATGCTACACTCCAACTTGTACCTTGGGGCCACTGTTATATACAGATGTATATGTACACCACCATCACTAGCCTTGTATTTTGTACCATACCATAAATAACCAAAGGTTTTAAGTCTTCACCATTTAAAATAGTATCATTTAACCCAACAAGGCACCATGTGTGTCATCATACTTACCTGACAGTGTGTAGCTCTTTTCATAATCTTCACATTAAAGGTTCTTAGTTTGCAGATTTTATTAGGGTAACATACACTATTAATTTTGCACATGAATGTAATCCACATCGCTTTTAAGTGTATCACCAAAGCTTCATTCTGTCATATCAAAATAGTGACAATATTAAGTACTAAGTATCATATAGTCATGCAATTTTCATTTCATTTTAAATTTAGTTTCAATTTATTCTATCTCATTTGACTTTCAACAAAGTTGTTTTCATTTCTAAATTAGTTTTCTTGTCATCTTCATTTGCTTTTATGTCATTTTCATAAAATTTCAGGTCATTTTCATTCTGTTCCATGACATGTTCCATGCTTACCTGTGCCAGGTGAGAGCGCGCTGCTCTCAGGTGACCTGTCTCTGGTCTCCTCCATCTCCTGATAGGCCATCAGGTGAGACCACAGGGCAGACTTCCCCTGCACACACACAACATCAGTTAGCACACACACAACTTCTACTTCAACAAGCTGCAGTGCTAACTCATTATGATAGGTGGAGTTGTTGCATGTCAGTTTAACATCCTTTAGAAACACACGAAATCCATTATCACAAATTATCAAACACAATTCACTACATAAAAATGCTGCAGTTACATGCAACTCGTTATGATAGGTGGAGTTGATGCTATATTTATTCCAGTGTCCACATTCAGTGAGAATTGTTTCTTTAATTTGAAAGAACTGTGAAGTTCAACATAGTTGCTACATGTAAATACAAATGTATTTTCTGATATCTTCATGTAGATACCAAATGTACATGTACAATGTATGTGAGAAAGACTACAATGTATTACGTCATGTATGTGTCCTCTTGAGGGAAGCATACTACTTTATCTGTGCTATATTGTGCTAATTTGTGATTTGTGATAAACCACAAACATTGAATTTTAACCCCATAAGAATTTATAATGTGTGTGGCACTTCACATGGTGATATGTAAGCTCGTATCTTAAAAAGAATACAGGACTGAAGATGGATTTGAAATCTGGCTGCACTTTGGTATAATGTTACAAGGTGGCGCTGCTGACCTGTTTGGTCTGCAGGCCGTGGCTCCAGATCCTCTCCAGCAGGTCACACAGGCTGGCGATGAGCGTGTTCTCCTCCATCCCGCGTAGCGACGTCTCGCCGTGGCCCAGCTCGACGGCCTCTGAACCCATCTTCTCTACCAGCATCCTCTTGGTCTGAAGGAGGAACAGCAAAAGTCAGGAAAATGTTACGTTGATTTGATTACAAATTATTAGTCAGACATTTCTCTTGCAACTACTCAAGAGACTTTAAGAAAATGGTCTTGAAGAAAATGGTCACAGAAGACTAATAGCAAATACATGTATATTAGAATCAATATGATTCTAAATGCTTGAGCCAATAGGAAAAGTCATTTGAGGGACCACCAAAACGTGGACATGGCGGCCAAGTAGTTTTTATGCAGAGGTGGTCATTAGTACAGGTTTGTTTGTTTGTTACAATAATTAAGGAAATACACAGGAAAAGGCACCATTATCCAAATTCCAATCAAGTTAAAGAAGAAAGAAAGAATGTTCCCCAAGACAATAGATAAGACATTTTCCAAAACAACTTGAGGCTTTGAAAAGGACAGCTAAGAAATACTTACATGACATGGACATACTAAATAGACGTCTTAGACTGGACTGTCTTCAGTCATCACAATATCAGTTTGCCTGACTATTGTACAATAAATGAAAGAATGAATCAATGAAGAATGTTTAGAAGACAATATACATGTAATCAAGTTTACCTTGACTTTACACTCCTTGAGCAGTCCCTCAACAAATTTCCAGTTGGTCTGAGCGATGACAGCCGGTGACATGTCCGACAGTTTGGGCTGACGTAACAACTTACCTCGAGCCTCCTGGATGTATTTCTGGACAATCAGACAGTATTCAAATTATGTTCAACTTCTACAAATACTAGATCATTAAATTTGGAAGAGATCAACTCTATGGTAATCATTTTTGTGCAGTAACGTTTTGCCAAGCTAGAACTGCTCACTATCCTTTTTTGAGGTTTATTTTATACAACTGTATCATTCACATACATGTACATGTATGGCTGAAAATATCATAATCGGATTGCATTTTATGAATTTAAGACTCAAAATCTTGTACTGAAATCCACCAGATTAAGAATTACTGAAAACAAGGCAAAAGATTGTAGTTATACATAGGTATGGCAGTAACATGGGGAATCCTCAGAAAAAGCATGACTTGACATGCTATGATCATTTTAAATCCTCAAAAATGCAGAATGATGTAAAGTTTAGATAAAAATGACTTAAAGCTTAGTACACCCATCCATGCATGTATAGAGTTGAGATTTTCTATTTAGACCAAATGCCTAATATATAATACAATCATAGACTGGCTGGCAACTACCAATTGACAGAATCCTAGCTGATCCATAAACATAAACTGTCATAATGTAGTGCTCATATTTCATAGCCTTAATCTGGAAACTATACAGTATGATATTTAATGATGGAAAAAGAAGGAAAAAAGTAAGAGTGGAAAAACAGTGATGAGGTAAAGTGGATACCCAGATGACTTCCCAGAGTTCGGCCAAGTTGTCATCCATCCTATCCCACCTGAGGAACTGTGGTGTGAGACCCAAGCCGTGGGAAAAAGGGGGGATGGAGAAACCAGATAAGTTTACTGTGCACTCAAGCCATTTGTCATTAGGTGTGCCGCTAATGCCTCGGTCACAACCCGCCGTGCGTGCTTTTTGTCCGTACGTTTTATTGGGAGGCCACGTCTGCTACGTTTTTCTGAAAACGTGGGGAAGGAGTGGCGTCGATGCACGTCATTCGCACGGTTGCGCAAGGTGTAAGAGTGTGGTCTGCATGCCACGTTTGGCCGTGAGCGGTTGCGTGCATCGTGCGTTGCGCAAGTGGTAAGTGAGTGGTACGTGCTTACAGCGTATGATCTCTGTGCGATTGCAACTTTACCGTAAGGAGGCCGTACTCACATGTGCTTCTTATGTGCAGTATGTACGGGGCACGCACGTCGTACGTACGGGTGGTGAATCCGCAGACCGCACGCAGAAAAAGTTTTACGTGCACTTACTAAAGTTCTACAGTGTGTCTGCGTCCTCCTAAATCCGTAGGATTTCCCTACGGAGGCGGTACTCCCCACTTACGAATCCCCTCATTTACCCACGTTTTTGCACGCAGATGCACTTACGGCGGGTTGTGGCCGAGGCTTAAGAAAGGGAAGGGGGATGTTATGTGCCTGTTTGAGTACAAAATTGGAATCTTTGGTAATGATCTTGTTGCCTTGCATGGACTTCGAATAGAGAAAAAAAATTACAGGAAAAAAGATAAAACTTACTGCAGCAGCAGGGGCATATAGGGTTGAAAAAATCAGTCCTCAGATAGATAGAAGGAATGACATGAATGTGGAGGTAGATATATAGGATATGCAGAACTGTTATAGGAAAAAGAATGACAGTAAATCGCATGGAAAGGAAACTTCCTTGGACCAAGGTGTCCCGAGATTTAACGTACAAAAACTGTGCTGAGAGAAAACTCAAGGTAGCAAGTTAACTAAGGATAAGTAAGAATGATGCAAATGTGCGTATTTGTTGCATTTATTAGGAGATATGAAAAATACTTACCATATTCAAATTCTGTTATAATCTTAACCGTACAATGTCAGAAGAATTAATCCATACAGTACATGTATATACAGATGTCATGTATGGCTATAACACAAAGCTCTTATTGAAATACTCTTTAAGTCATATACTTCGTTCAAAATCTCTTGCGTTAAACTTTGCTGATGAACTGAAAACGTGGAAAGCCAATATAATGGAGCCTAGAGTGTCTTTTTTTCTCTAGGGAAGAAATCAAGTTCCTCTATTTAGCATAGGAAAGCCCTGGCAGCATACATTGATGCTTTAACTATTGGTGGAAAAATTAGCCATGCAAAATTTGAGGAACGCTTTACATCCAAAAGACATTGGATGTTAGTAGACTGCTTGTGAGAAAGTTTACCTCTCGTTGGTCGGTGCTCATGGCCAGGTGTTGGGAGTGTTGCTGCATTCTCTCCTTACGTCTCCACTGTTGGCGCATGTTTCTCCGTGTGTACCTACGGGACGATCGCAACACGATAAAAAAAATGTCTTCTCCAATGTCTATTCAAATTCATCCTCAGTTATAACTGACAATTTAAGCCATAATTTAAAAGGAAAAAAGATGACAGTACAAGTCAAAGTTGAATCATTCAATCAACTGTCAACAAATTTCAACCTATTCTTTTTGTATTGGTTACAGTAACTGTTAATGAATTATTCTAGCTAAATGTACAGTAAATCAAATGTACAGTACAGGTTGTTGTTTTTTGTGTGAGAGTTGTCTGTAGCAAGATAGATTTTGTATTCAAGTGTGTAGCACATGTAAGCAGAGGTGCACAGCAGAAAACAGAGCACACTGACATATAGTTACATGTATCTAAAGAGGACACATACACACACATATAGCAGGCAAGTCACAGACAATAGAAGCATACTGAGTATTTGTGTTCACTGTATGTTGCAAATTCTTAAAAAATTTCTGATTTTAGGATTGAAAATTTTTTTTGATTTTAGGATTCGAATATTGACAGCTTCTGATTTTATGACAAAACATTTACAAATAATTAATGCAGAATATCGCAATCAATGTTTGTAGAACAAATATTCAAATCATATACAGTATATGAGTTATTGGTTAAGACACAATTAAGACACAAGTTTTTTCATTGATGAAGCAAAGCGGAATTTCAGTCAACAATGGTAGAGTCAAATTATTATTGAAGAAACTAACTTACAAATAGGTAGTCTCTTAACATGAACAAAAATATGTCAAGTTTTTTTAGAGGTTTGAAGCCTAAATTTCTTTAAAATTCAGTCCAAGCCACAAGCATTACCGTCATTCACTGGACTAGTACACTATTCTACGGGGGTGGACAGGCTGGTGTGGGAGGGGAGACATTGTGTGACAAACCTGTAGTCATCCCACTCGATTTCGTCGGCATGTGGACTGAGAAAGAAGCTGGAATAAGCATCTTGCAACGCACTGGAAGAAACATGTACACCGTGTGTTCAACCTAGGCCACCCAAAGTAAGGCAGGGCTTGTACTATGGGCATTCAGATAGACTGATCCTGACTGTCCATCACAATTAGCTATTCAACCAATCAGAGGTTGGCAATTAGTGGTTTGACCAATAAAGAGTGTCTATAAATTTGTATCAATTTTATATTTTGATGGAGTTGGGTGGGGCTTTGGAATTGGTCAATTGACAGATTTCTTAATTAATCATGAAAATATTTCACTTTTTATCAAAGATTTAAAAATTACCTATTGAACATCTACATAATAAAATAATATGTTTTCAATTAATACTTTGAAGTTTGAACTTTTTTTTCACAATTTGAGGTATTATTCAATTATACTGCCACAGAAGGAAGGGTATGTTTCAGATGTAATTTTCCAACAACAATTCCTATGTTATAGACATTAATTTAGATGTAAATCAATGGCTAATAGTTTTGATAATGCCTTGTCCATGTACAAACCCTGCATCGTAAAATAAGAATAAAAGAAAAGATGAAGAAATTGACAAAGTGTCTGCAAAAAAGGATAAGAAAGAAATGACAGGATAAAGAAAACTACTTGTAAAATAAATAACTGAAACAAACACTGCTAGTAAAAGGCCCAAAGCACACTACAGGCTGATTGGATGAGAGGCAATGCATGTAAATGTAACTATTGTAAAATGTAAAGTTTTGTCATACTGAATTCAGTGATCAACACAATATTAAGTCCATGTTTTTATATATGTCAAGAGCTGAGAACTTGTTGGTTACATTGAAGCATAAGAAAATATTTTGGCTCAATATAAAAGTCATTTCGAAAACCAAGATTTTGTTTTAAACCATAATAAACTGTAATGTGTACATGGAAAACAGTTATAGAAAAGAAAGCAAGGATATTTATGCAGATAAGCATTTTATAAATAGCAGTAGTATCACACCACAGGAACTACTGTTTGTTAAAAAATCTTTGAAGGATTGAATGTAATATCTGTATCATAATACTGTATGTTGTTTCAGTACATGGTATACGTACTACTGTACAATGTAGGTTAGGTTTTTCAATTTGTTACATGTTTGCAATAATATTGCTAGCTTCAAGCATCTAGCTGAAGCAAAACTGCTTGCAAGTTCAACAGCAGTCAGCAATGGCAACTCAAACTTTAAAATTCTAACAGGGACCCTAAGAGTAACACAGCCAGACACATTGAAAAATTATTGAGGATTTCATAAGAATGTCTTGAATACATGTTTTGATATGAAGAGTGCATACCTTGAAGATTACTAGATGCAGTATTCAATTGACTGTCATGATATTGGTTGGGGGTCAGTGTACAGAAAGTACGATAAGGTTGAAAACGCTTTTCACTCTTTTTTGTTCCTTTTTGCACTTTCAAAATGAGTGTTGACATTACAGTTAGTGTAAGTTTAGACTGTTGTACAGTAGTGGTTGGGGGACGGTGTACAGAAAGTGCAAAAGGGCCCGAAACACATTTTGTTCCTTTCTGCTGCATTTTGCACTTTCTGTACACCTGTTGGGGGAGGGGGGCATGATTGGAACTTACCTGTTGTTACCTGACTCGTAGCACATGACGTCAGGTTGCAGGTCGGGGAAGAAGCCAGGCTCGTGTCTGCCCTGTCCGATCTTCATACTCAGGAGGTGGGGGTGCACGGCCATGTGGTCTACTTTGTTCCACTTCTCTGTGATGGCTCGTTCTGTAAGAGAACCACAACTTTCAATATTTTCTACATTGTATATCGACTTTTGGCTTGGATAACTCTAAAAACTCTATCAATGAATAAGATCGTTTTTCACATCTCTCTTGGCTTGGCTTCGTTTTCTAAGATTTTTTTACATATTACAAAAACAAATACCCATGCAAGCTTCAAACCGATGTAACATATTGATTATAATAAAAGCTGATGGTAACACAAATACCTCTCTAACAGACTACATGTAACTACAAAAGGTGGACATGACTTGTGTGGTAACAAGAATTTCTGCAACTTCGGTTAGAAACATGACTACAATGGGCACAACAAATTTCAGAAACTAACAGAGACAATTCCTGTGTATTTGACAACTGCACTCTCAGACTGGTATTTATTCTTATCCTTGTAATCAATGTTTTTTATATTAAAAAATGCTATAGTAAAGTTTCTATGTGAATCATAGCACTGCAAGTCAGTCAAGGTAATAATGAAATTGAGGAAAACATGTCAAGGAAATGCAATATATATCTGTGATAAGCCTGGTAAAAAGGGATACAAACATCAAATACTAATTACTATATCTCCTTTTGTACAAGGAGCATTGTGCATTTTCTACTCAGTACGACCAGTAAACATCAGATGTCAAAAGTAAAAGTAGAAAAGATGTCCAAGTCAGAAACTGCAAGTCGAGGAGAAGTCGAACTTCACACTGGTAAAAACTTGCCGTAGAGTGACAAGAACTTACCCGAGTCTTCACGTGTTTTCGCCATGCGAGTGCAGCCAGTGGAAACAAGAGTGGGGTGAACGTTTAGTACATGTGCCTTGTCTTTACAACAAGATTACCGTAAATTCATTCGCTTTTGCAGTGGTTTTATTTGGCTGTCAAAAAAAGCTCTGTAGCACAGTAGTAATGGTAATGACTTGGAAATGCATATTTAAAATGTCATGAATTCATGGTGGTAAAGAGGTCACTGTAACAACAGTACTGTAACAATAAAACCACCGCAAACATTTCAACATTTACAGTTACTGTAATATTGAGTCAGAAGATACATGTATTATATAGCATACGAGAAACTTCATAAAATCACGGTAAAATTCTTTTAAAAAATGGTAACATTCTTCAACAAGCATATTTTTCGAACACTGCATAGCATTAGACATAAAACTCAATAAGACGAAATATTTTTGTCAAACACATCGTAGTGGCACACAATGTAGACCAAATATAAAGTCAGGGTGTTAAAATGTTGCTACAGATTCACAAAGTAGATTAGTACTAATAGTTAGTGATGCATACCGGTTCACTGGACTTGCAAGAATGTTTAGGTTCAAGTCCAAAAAAACCTAAAAGTCAAGAACCGAGTCCGGACTTATTACCATAAAGACCATTTCACATACCCCTTTTCTTTCCAAACCACCTAAAACCTTCCGTAGATTGCAAAATCTTTGCGGCAAAACGAAGAAAACATTGCCATCGGGCATCCATGTTATGTGGCCAAAGTTTCACCCAGACAACATTGTAAGGTTGCCAACATGCCATTTTGTATATGCCATGGGTTTAGGTCCGGACTTACAAGTCCGGAACTGAACCTAAACCTCTGGACTTGAATCCGGACCTGAACCTAAAATTGGGTTTAGGTATGCAGCACTACTAATAGTAGCTCTGAAATGTTAAGAGTCAGATCATTATGCATCATATGACGAGTGCGAAACTTCACATCAATGGTACAAAATGTAGCAAACAAAAGATACAAAATGACGAGTTTAGTGGAACACTTAGTATAAGCTGGGCAAGCAGGCTGTAAAAAAAAGGGGTAAGCTAGCTGTTAGAAAAAAAAGAGTATTTTGGTTAAATTTGCCATGCAGTACTAGTGTAAAGGTTAGACTTTCTGGTAGTACAATATTGAAAGTAACAGTTACTCATAGAGCAAACTGATAGATTTAAAAATGGTCAGATGTTTCAAGTAGCATCCACTACATCAGCAACATTACTTTTTTCCTTACTGACAAAATAAAGCTAGTAGATGCTGAGGGTTTTTGCTTGGGTAACTGTTACTTTGGTACAGTACTAGAACTTTGCAGGCTGATGTTAGAAGTTGTTACCTTGTATTTCTACCATGATGGACCTGTCAGGGTTGGACATGCGGATGTGGGAGTTTCTGGATGACTTGATGTTCTCGATTTTGGCGTCAAAAATCTTCAAGTTGTCATCGATAGGCTCCCAGTTGGCCATAATCTGAGAACAAAATTGAAGGATACTCAAGACAGCCATATTTTTCCAGCACATGTACATAAAAGCAATTTTTAAAAAATAAAAACACATTTCTACCCATTATAAGGAGCTTTTCAAAACATGAGTACTGCATCAAAATCTAAACTTCTTTCAGTAATGTCCTTTTTTTTCAACCTTCTCCCTCCAATGCCTAACCTGTGCGTTAAAATATACTTATTTTAGTACAATCTTTCAGGCCTGGAGTGAAGGTTTGACATGTTTACTTGCCTTGTTGTCCACTAGAGTTGCAAACATCTGTGTCTCGATAAAAGGCGACAAGAAAGGCAAGTAGATGTCTGGTTGGTCCGACAAGAACGCGGCTTTGTCGAAGTTTGTCATCTGCTCCCTGTTACTAAACCACGACTCCAGGTCACCGTTCGGTTGGATGACGAACGACTCGTAACCAAGCAACAAGGACGCTATTCTGTGTAGGAAGATTTCTCGTAAAGCGGCGTTCAGTTTCATGTCTTCGAGATCGTGGTCGACCTTTGGTTTCTTTTCGAACGCGGCGATCTCTGGGAGGGATTTCGCGATGTCGCTGATTGTGTGACTGACTCCCATGCGTTGCGCGATGGCGGTTATTTTCGCGATGGCTTCGCTGCTTTCTAGAATGTCGCGTTTACTGAGAGTTGAGGTGTGAGCGGGGCTTCCCGTGCGCCCGTCGTCGCTAAGATGGCAGCCCGAGTCACTACGACTGGGCGGGTTCATCCCGGGCTCCAGAGGCACGTTGCTGCGGACCAGGATCTCCGAGATTTCTTGGAGGACGTCGAGTTTCTTAGGAAACTGTGGGAGATCCTCGGGGAGCTCGACTGTGTGGTTGTCAATGTCTACAAAACAGAGGGAGGCCTGCAGAAGAAAAATTTTAAGAATCATTATCAAAAGGCCTCACAGTTGGCATATTGAAGTACTAGACCAATGTGCAGTTAAAAAGATAATTCATGCCCTTTCTAAGCAACTTTCTAAGGTACTTTCTACGCTACGTTACAACGGTTAGGAATAATTTTGTCCAAAAGCTAGAACCCATTCTAATGTTAGCAGTTTAGAGAGAAGAACCTGAATCTCTGTCATGAAATGAGTGCTTGAATAAATAACAGTAAGTAAAGGTAATATATGGCTCAAAATGCAACCTGTTATTATATGTAGGTTTTTGCAGGTAAAATATGAGCAGTGCAGATATTTCTGATGTCTACCTATGATACAACTGTAGGTGTATATGGACTTTCATTAGCTATATGAAGGGTAAAAGAATTAACGGCAATGCTTTCTGAACAGCTTTTGGTGATCCACACTTAACAAAATTCTGACTGTCTGTTGCAGGTATTATTTTTTTAAATTATTTATTGAAAAATGCAACAAGACATTACACTGACTCTCAAGGCAGCAAAGCTGATATTAGAGAGTCAACATATAAGGACAAAACACAAAGGGCACATAATTTCAAATTTAACTGTTGCAGGTAACTTTTAATGTTACCAGCACCAGTGCAGGTATGCAGCATTAATTCAAGCCCTGGAAATAAATGAACTGAATAAGAAGTGAACAGTTGTTCTAACCCCACCTCATGCGGGAGCTGTAGCTGAGACCTGTCGTCCCTGCCGTTGTGGTGCAGACCCATGATGTAGGGGACGGGCGCGTCCAGGAAGTGGAGCAGCGAGGCGGGCAGGATGGGAACGTACACGTGCTGCCACGTGAAGGGGAACAGCAGCACGCTCAGACTCTCCGCTAGCAGCATCAAGCGATGGTAGTCTGGCAACGAAAAGCGACAAACTTTACAACTCCAGAAAAAATTTGATTTGTACATTGCAGTTTTCAATTTTGTGAATAAACAAGCTCAAAGATACAAATATACTGATTAATCTAAGGACATGTATGGATAGCTGAACCAGCAGAATATTAGAGCAAAAACTCATATCCATCTTTTGAATGATTTGTACTTGTAAAGTTAGAACCAATGTAAGAACTGAATGGCGATAGAAACTATCAGATGCCTTTATTATAGAAACAGCTGGTCCCAAACATGTCATGTTTACCTTGTGAATACAGCAGTATGTGTTTCTCCAACAGAGCGCAGGTCCACAGCTGTAGTACGCTATCCACGCCGAGTAGCGTGAACATCTCCCGTATGTGGAAGTCGAACAACGGCAGCTCGTTCGCGCTCGGACGGTGACACGTCACGGCGCCCTTCGCCGCGTTGAACTGTAAACTTCTCCCCGGCGGCGGCAGCGGGACTTCGTATAGAATGTTATAAACGTAGCTTTCTACGGGGAGGGGGGGCTGGGAAGGGGACGATATTGCTTCATACAACTGTGACAGGAACTTTTTACATGCTTGGATGAAAGGCAGTGGTGTTATAAGGCATATACTCTTGGTGACGTACAAAACATCGGAGGTTATGTCGTAAGTTCTGGGGACGTATCTCTCGTTCTCGTCCCCGATTTCGGGCGGCGTGCGGTCCATGAGGGGAAAGACGGTGCGGGATTGGCGGTTGCTGAGCTCCGCCTTGTGCATGGCAAAGAGCGTCTGCATGGCTTCGCAGATCTGTTTGTCCACGACTTTCTCGTAGAACGTGAAGGAGGTGCCGTAGGTCCGACTGCCGTCCTCCCGCGTGATGATGAACGAGTGGAAGCGAGTTTCCCGCTTCTCGTTCTCTGTCCGGAAGGACAGGCCCTTTGGAAGGCAAAGCTACAGAACAAAAAAAGCACAGTAATTGTTATAAACTGTACAACCCAGTTTATCTTTTATACATACATGTTTGTGTTTGTTTGTTTGTTTGTTTGGTTATGGTGGGTTGGTTGGTTGGTTGGTTGGTTGGTTGGTTGGTTATCTCTGTGTAAGGAGGTTTTGTTTTTAGTGTCTGTCTGCTTGTTTGCTTGTGTGTCAGTAGTTTGAATACAGTAGACTCATAGGAAGACTTAGTGAAGGAGTATCTACATACAAAAATGTAAATAATGAATTCTAAACAAACTTTACATTCCTTGTGCAAATCTTAGGCAACAGAATCACAGTTACAAACTTTGTGTTCCAAACAACATTTCTAATCAACTCATGCTGCTTTTTGGTAAAGGTTTTTGGTAAAAGTTCAGAAATCTTACCATGCCAACCGCACTTTCATCAAAAGGGTTCCAGGCCACATTTTCAGGGTAGTGTGCCAGCACCTTGGAGTTGTACGATCTTTCCAGGGGGGTCAGCTGAAGGTTGTGGGCTAGTGGAACAAAAAAAAACACATGACATCAACTAAGTGTAAAACTTGTATATTTAAGTTGTGGATACGGAGAATTTAGCAAATGTACACCTCAACATGTCACTAGGATGCTACCTGAAACGTCTGACCGTTTCCAAAATCATGTCCAGTTGCTTGAGTAACTATTTTTTGGTGTATCTTATTACCTTCACCGACGTATCCCAGCCACTGTTCCAACTGTACTAGTAGCTATCACCCACCCATCAATGTCATAAAAATACCCTTATGCCACACCGATAGAAATTAATTTCTTTGTTTTTAAAGTCACCTTCTTCATTTTCTTCTTCACTTCGTCCTGATTTGAGAAGAAAAAGATCACAATGAGAATAGACATGCTTCAAAATTGCTTAAATTTTGGTGCCAACAGTTGAACTTGAAGGAAGTCCTATTTCTGCTCTGCAATCTAAGATTCGTTGGAATATCTTTACTGAAAATTGTTCTAAATTTATGTTCTTTTGTCATTTGTGGAATTATTTTTGCATCAAAAGCATAAATGTATACACCGAGGTCCATCACAATGTTTTTTATTTTGATTTCCAAAAAAAATTGAAATTGGTGTGGCCTTATTTTAAGCTACTTTTTCATATCAGCCAAAGTCTACTGCTCTATACTACAGGCAAGATCTGCCATAACATTGATGATATATACGTACGCTACAAAATGATTCATTGTAATAGTACTCTACTTAATGAAACCAACAAAAACTTAAGCCATGCCATTAACATGACAAATATATAGACGACAGCAAAAACCAACAAATTGTACAAAAGTCTGCCACACAATCTAATAAAGACAAGCGAATGTCCTTGGCAAAAGTATCATTTATTGACACAATCATCTAAAAACTCCAGAGAGATGTCATAGACAAACGAACTTTGCTGTAACGACCCAGGGAGGCTAGAATCCCTGGCACCAAATTTTAACAGGCCCATCTATATTGTGGCGAAAGATGTAACGATACACTCGCAATTCCATTGATTTTTTTTCCTGTGCTATCACATAGGCTGGGGGCTCAAAATACCACCGGTATATACTTACTAATGGAGGTAGTAAGGCCACACCAAGTAAATTTTATGGATGACGTCCGCGCGCGCATTGATTCTGACATGTTCCTAGAAAAAAAACAAGAAATTCCGCTTCCTGTAACTTAATGACCAAAGAGTCACGACAGTGCCGCAAGTCGTCAGATTGACGTGAAACCCGTATAGAAGAAAGTGTCTATTACCATACTGTTTTCACTGTCCACGGTTCCACCTGATTTATTGCTGTTTTGATGATGAATAAAAGACTTCTTGCTTGTTACACTGTGTCACCTCAATCAATTCGTGTCCTAACATTTGTCGTCTCTTAGTATATTTCTAATCTAGGCATCTTGTTTTTTAGGGCCCTTCTTGTTTTTCTTTCGCCCTCTCGCATTAGATTTAGGGTCTCCAAAGGACGTCATCCATAAAATTTACTTGGTGTGGCCTAATACTAGTATTGAGGTAATTGTACAGGTATTTCTGATGTCTATCTGCACCTAACCTGCACTGAAATGGTTTAAACTCTAATATAGTATATATGTAGATTTTTATTTTTACTTGTGTATTGACTTAAATAATTTCGAGCCCAGTGTAACCTCAAGTCATACCAATACCCTCCATACCAAACACGCACTGAAATCATTTATTACTTTTGCGTGTAGTTGATACCGAGCGTAGGTATTGCCTTACAGATGATAAATTGCTGTGTACATTACAAAGGATTGGAGTGTGTGGCAGCAATATTTCAGGACGTTACTTACCAAGAAAAAAATGCATGATTTATGTAAGGGAGACTGAACTGAATTGAATGAATGCTAGAACGTTATGATGCTGTGTATCCTTGAGAAAGGCACTTAAAGGCATCCAGTGCACTTTTTAGGGCTTGGAAAGCTGATTTTTCAAAGTCAATATTCTAGTCATTTAATGATTACATACTGAGTTGAAACCACGCCATCCCACTGTATATTGACCCTCATGGAGCAAAAATTCTGACGGAAAACGGTTACTAGAAGGGCCCTTGGCTGATTTTTAGGGTACCACCCAAAAAATAAAGGACTCATCTAGGGGCTTATTTCTGCAGTTTTTAAAAGCCGGAGTATGAAATACTGACTCAAATGTACCAATCTGAAGCAGTATGTGTCAATATCACAAAGATTGCCTTATTCAGAACATTTCCACTTTTGCTGCCCTGAAATCACATTGGATGCCTTTAACACAAGTTTCCTCACTCCACCCAGGTGTAAAATGCGTACCTGACTTCAGTTGGGAAGGTAAAAGGCAGTGGAAAGAGAGGGATGGGCTCTGCCTTCCAATACTGTACCCTAGACACAGTAGATTAACAACCCACTGCCCCTACAGCCTCAAAAAGGCTATAGAACTACATGTACCTTTACCTGTCCTTGGTGCTGAACAACATATCTAATCTATGGATATATAGAATACAACACGGTGTATTTCGTATCGCCCGAGGTACCAGCCCGACCGCGCGTCGGATCGCCCGACGGCCGAAGGCCGGAGGGAGATCCGATCCGCGGGAGGGCTGGGACCGAGGGTGATGCGGAATACACCGTGTTGTATTTTATTTATGTCATACCCACCCAAGAAAACACGCCTTTCAATGCAAAATGAGCAGAAAGTTGGTGTCCCTAAACCCAAAAAGTGCAACAACATCAATTCCAACGTCCGAATTTTGCATTCGAATTTTCGAAAGCGTTGCACGCGGTTAGGGCGAAACGCGTTCGAATCGTTCTGTGGAACATTTGGAAGGGCCGGGCCGTACGCGGTAAGAACCCCCGGGCCGTACCGCTAGTTATCACACGGGCCGGAACACCCGTATCGAACGTAATCGCGGCCCAGGTAGGACATAAAGGTTGTTAGTAGCATTTATCAACATGAATTTTGGAGTTTGAGCCTGAAAGTTGAAAAAAAACTGATATTAAAATGATCTCTAAAATAATCTATTGAGTTGTCATCACAGTCTGCCAGTTTGATTAAAATAATATGAAAATTTGTCTGGAATTAATATTTACGTAACGCATAATGATCAAATAGTGTCGCCACTGTGTTTATATTTCATGTCTGCATCATAGTTTTGCATATCTAATTTCAAACCTAGGCACAATGTAATCACACTAATGGAAGATATCTTTGCCACATTGTACTTTGATATACTATTTTGACCATTAACCTTCTACGTGCTAATGTAGCCATTTGGTGCTAAATTTGTATTGGTCATGGGGTTAGGGCAGCAGTAAGAAGGTTAAAATTCCTAACACAACTTACAAGGAGACGTAGTGTAACAGTGGGGGGTTTATAGGCGCTACCAACTGACCCGGCCGATGGGTCTAGACCTTTTCGGTTGAGTGGTTAGAGTGTCTGACTGGGGCCCGGGAGGTTGTGGGTTCGAACCCCGGCCCGGGACCAGAAGGGTTTTTACTGGCTCCTCCTGTTTCTTACAGTAGTTCTGTAAGGCTGTTTTATAAAACATAGAAATTCGGATACCACGAAATATCACAATTTATGGTAAACTAAAATTCAACCTTCACAAATGCTTTTGTTTGTAGAGAAAAAGTGCATTTACCTGACCTTGCTGCTATTACATGTAATTTTAGTTTTGACATGATGTCAGAAAATATGACATCCGTCAACAAAATTGTTTTCAACAATGGATCAATACAATGTACATGTACTGAAGAGCCAGGATTAAGTGGTACCGGTAGAATTTTGTCTGTATGGACAGGAAAAAAACATTTAGCCATTTTAGGATCCCTGACTACGCCTGAATATTCTAAGGCCACATCAATTTCATTTGTTGGTTCTCAGATTTTTTTCAGAAAAAATTTGAAGCGACAGGGCAAAAAAAATAAAAACAGCCCTAGGCATCCTATGATAGCCTCAAATGCTATGATAGAAGCTATGAAGCGAACATGCCAGGCTGGTTTGTAAATCAAACAATGAATGTCAAACTTGTAATCAAACCACTGCATTGATAGATGGAAAAACTGAAACAATTCTGAAGAGAATTAGGGACTTCTTTCAACTATTTGTAACAAAATAAAAGCATTTTGGAGTTGATTTTTTTTTTTGCAAATCAAAAAAAAAAAAAGCAGGCATATCCCTGAACCAATAATTTAAATTCGTGTCTAAATACTCCCAACTACAGAATATAGTTGTATATATATATAACTGCACTAGAAGTAGTAGAACTTTAATAGTAGAAGTCAGATCGACCTTTAATGTGTGCCCTTGACCTTGGATAAGGTAGGACAGAGCAAATGTAATGGGAAAGGTGCTGATTACAAACAATAGCCTGGTACAACATTACCAGTGTGCATTGTTTGGGATTGAGTAGTAATTGGTAATTTTGCAGTAGTGTATGGTACAATATGTGTCACACAGTCAAATTAAGGGACGGACCAAGAGGTACTAACTTCAGTAAGGGTATAGGGGGTATTTTCCATTTCCAATTTTCTTACAACTTACTAGACTAAGTACAGTATCAGTATACTACCAGTATACTATATATATTTTTATTTTACACACAGTTTTATTTGTGTATAGATTGAAATGTTGTCTTTACCCTAACACATATACTGATATAGATGACACAAGATCAACAATCATAATACATTTGTAGCAGTATACCCTCTATCACACAAATAATATGTATGTAGTATTATGTATCATGCATTTTATTTCTCTGAAAAATAATATAAAGTGATCTTCTAAACCTTCCTTGCCTTAAAATAACTCTTTCATAGTCCCTTTTTCAAAAAGTCCCTTTTTGAAAAAAATTTGTCCCTTCTCACTGAAATTTGGTCTATGATAAGAACCTGTAACACATCATTTTGACAGAAAATTCTATCCTGACCATCTGTAATATACAACCTAGAAGCTCCATAATATTGATTTTGCGAAGGGAATTGCCTGGAGAGAACA